CAGGCCAAGGGACCCCATCCATGCACGAATTTCGTGCACTGGGCCTCTAGTTGGTTAATAAAACCACCTGTGTTTAATCAGTGGCTGGTCAGTCATTGAATGCAAGATAGCTTCTAAAATCTTTGTGATAAATTCCTGCTGCATAGATTATCTTAACTTAAGATCATCTATGTAGATATTAAAGGGTAGAGCTGCTTGAAGTTCATACAGATAGTTTTAAAAAGTTGCTAAAGATATGCACACATTAAGAATTGAAGGAAGCCCTAACTGGTTTGGCTCAGTGGATAGAGCGTCAGCCTGCGGACTGAAGGGTTCCGGGTTCGATTCTGGTCAAGGGCATGTACCTTGGTTGCGGGCACATCCCCAGTGGGGGGTGTGCAGGAGGCAGCTGATCCATGTTTCTCTCTCATCGATGTTTCTAACTCTCTATCCCTCTCCCTTCCTCTCTGTAAAAAATCAATAAAATATATTAAAAAAAAAAAAAAGAATTGAAGGAAAAATAATTTCACCAAAACATGGAGAGCACTGTTTTGTGTTATTTGTAGCCCATATGCAAAGAGTTAGAATAATGTATTTGATGTCATATACTAAGATTTCTACTAAATGTAAATTATGTAAATGTTGATTAAAATATAGGGGATATTATTTTTTTTTTATTTTTTTGGGATATTATTGATAACTCAAATTCTGCTTTGATAAAACTGTCTTACTCAGGTTAATAATAGCATGTGTTAGACTGTTCATAGGAGGGAAGGGTAGCTAAAATTAATTATTTTAATATTGTGACAAGGTACTTTGCTAAATGTTTAATGTATATAATTTCATTCAATCTTTATAATATCCATATAAATTAGGGATTGATAAGATCTTATCTTTGTTTTTTTTTAAATTATGTTTTTGCTTTTTAGAGAGAGAGGAAGGGAGAGGGATAGGGAGATAGAAACTTGATGAGAGAGAAACATCATTGATCCGTTGCCTCCTGCATGCTTTCTACTGGGCATGTGCCCTGACTGGGAATCAAACTAGTGACCTCTTTGTTCATGGGTGGACGCTCAATCACTAAGACACACCAGTGAGGTGATATTATCTTTGTTTTATGAATGAGGAAACAGGACCAGAAAGGTTACATAGCTGTTGTTCTGTGTTTTAACCTGGTCTGTTAAACCCCAAATCAACATTTGTTCCCATAAAATATGAATTGAAGAATGTCCCTGGCCTTCAGAAACTCTTAATGTAAATAAAGAAATAAATTGATACATTAAACAGTGTAGGCACTGTTTTTATGAGGTTTGAGGAACATGAAAGTACCACAACTATTTGGATAGGTTAGGGAGGGTTTTACATCAAGAGGGTTGATGTTCAAGCTGAGTATTGAATAGGAATTTTTTAAACATGGTTTCAAGTTAATGCTGCTACTTTAAATTGTTTATACTTGATATTTTCAGCAATGATGAAATTAGCATGTGAATATTGCTAGGAGATTAAAAGCAATGTGGGAAATATTACCTAATACACAGGCGATCCAATATGAACATGATATGTTACATAGTTTTATCTATTATTTAATATTATTTTAATGTTAATTATTTACTAATTCTAGGTATAATATGATTTCTTTTACTGCAGATGTCCTCCTCGCACTTTCTTACCAGCCCTCTGCAAAATTTTTCTTGACGAAAGTGCTCCAGACAATGTGTTGGAGGTAACAGCCCGTGCCATAACATACTACCTAGATGTATCTGCAGAATGCACCCGAAGGATTGTTGGGGTAGATGGAGCTATAAAAGCACTTTGTAATCGTTTGGTTGTGGTAGAACTTAACAACAGGACTAGCAGAGACTTAGCTGAACAATGTGTAAAGGTAAGTCTTAATTCTTTATTGGCCCATTTGAAGATCACTTAAAGAATAAAAAATATATTTTGCTAATGAAATAAAATTTTTTCCCCCATTATCAGTCTTATTTTATTGAGAGCGGTTGAGAACAGTGGAAATCACAGTCCTTGTGGATCAAGGAGATTCCATGTGGTTGGGAAAGAAATCTAGGGGGATGAGTGCTCTAAGTGATCAGAGCGTGACCCCCTTCTTTGAGGGTTGCAGGTTTGATTTTCCCCCCAGGGCACACATTGATTGCAGGTTCAATCCCGGGTTGCGGAAGGCAACCAGTGGATGTGTCTCTGTCCATCAATGTTTCTCTCTCTCTCTTCCTTTCCCTCTCTTCCACTCTCTCTTAAATCAATGGAAAAAATATCCACAGGTGAGGATTTAAAAAAAAATCTTATCTTTGAAGGAAAATTGCAGGTTACTGGTAATGCTCTTCTTTGCTGCCTCAATGCTCTTCAGTTCTGGTAGCTGCTAATACTTTTGATAGGTTGTCCCTGTTCCCAGCCAGAATGATATTGTACCTGGTATGAAAATAGTAAAAACCACCAGCACAACAGATAACACTGACCACTATTGCCAGTGTCATATGAAACACTTAATATGTATTAATTCACTTAATTGGTTTAAAAAAATTTTTTTGGGGGGGTAATATTAGTTAATAACATTACATAAATTTCAGATGTACAACTTTATCCAACTCATTTAATCTTAATGACAATTTTGTATGTGGTTGGTGCCACTAATATATAATTTCTCTTTTAGAGGTGAAAAAAAATCAAGCATACTGACATTAAATGACTAGCTGGGGATGATACACATAGTGGCAGAGCCAAGATCTGAAGATCACGCATTTGAAGATTAGAAAATCTGGTTCTAGGGCCTATGGCTTTAACAATTTTGCTGTATTCTTTTAGAATTAGCTGTTTTATTCTTGGTGGGGTAATTACAAACTCTGGAACTCTAAAAGCATCAGTATTGGGTCACTAGTTTATTGGAACTATTTGCGAACACATTTGGATTTTACATGATTCTCTTATGATTCCTGTTTTATTCTTTTTATGATTCTTGTTCTAGGTCAGCAGTTTTCAAACTTTTTGTTTCAGGACCCCTTTACAAGTCTTATTGAGAACCCTTGAAGATCTTTTGTTTATAGAGATTAAATGTATTTATATTTCCCATATTCGATAATGAAATTGATAAATTTAAAGTATTTTTTTTTGAAGTGCGACCATTTCTTTATTAAATTATACAAAAAGGGGAGGAGAGAGGGGCAGCTGTGGGGCTTGGTCCCAACCCTGGCCCCACCCTGGCCTGGCACTGTCTGAGAGAAGGGGATCTGAAGGAGACCCAGGGACCAGGCAGGG